CAGATGTATTTACTTATAGTTGGTTTGTACTTTAGTGAAGGCACAAGTCACTTCATTGTTACAGATGATCTTTATTAATAAGTTGACTGAAGTTAACTATAGATAATGAATGATTTGTCTCAAACCAAATGGATTGTGTGTGTGTCCCAGCCTTCCTCAGAAGAATGAAAGCCCTGGTTGTATGTAATAACTGAGCTGTCCACATTATTGAGTAACAGAAGTGAAGAGACGCCCAGGCGCTGTAAAGGCGCTCTGAACAGAAGTCGGCCATATTTTATGGGTCTTTAGTGCGGGAGTCTGCAGACTGGCTGGCTGATAGGCAGATAGTGACGGCCCACTTAGTTAACGCAGTCTGAGGACAGAGCCGGCCCTGCACTGACCCGTGACACCTGTGCTGAGGCATGCTGGGTCATCCGTCAGCCCCACACACCCAAACTCCACCATTAAGGCTTTATCACTCCACATAACACAACTACTCTAACCTTGAAACAACATTTACTTCTTACGGACATTTTGTAGAGAATGGGGATTTCTGAGGTGGGCTAGGATTTTCAAAAGTATCAATAAAAAAGGTATTAATTTGTACTAAAACTAAAACTCATTACTTTGGTTTTTATTGATCAAAATCTTGTAGAGCTGCACAATATATAGAATAAATGTGGTTTTCTGACCATGTTACAAGATTGTTCTCTCATCTAAGAGTGACCTGGAGTTGTTTTTAGATCCATTCACCATAATATCAGGAAGTCCTGGCACAGACACGTATCTGTTTCAAACCTGGGACGCTGGTGGATCATCCGAGTCGTTTTCTGCTTTTTAAAACAAAAGCGTTTCTCCTAAATTAGTTTTGGTAAATTACATTATGTTCAGGACTTTATGTATGAATTTAAAAATAAACCACATGAATCCAACACCTCCCTCCGGTGGTAGAAGTGTGCATTACATGCTGAGAGCCTGTTTCATCGTTTTATAGATGTTTTCTTTATATCATTTCTACTTATTTATTATTTTATCACATTCTAAAACATGCAGTGCCAAAGTAGAAAGTTCCCCTATCATGTTTAGGGACTAAAAAATGCAAAATGTTAATGTTCTTTAAATGCACTCTCCCAAAGGTGCTGCTTTGCCTTTTGAGACTTGCAGTAGAGTGACTGGAAACAACACAACCCAGCATGGTGGAAAAGAAAAGTAGAGAGTAGAGAAAACGCTGTTATTTGGGATTACTGCAGCTTTAGGAGAGAGAATGTGTCACAGAAGCAAGTACTCTGCAATATCTTATGTATGTATTTTCAAACATTGCAATGTATGTTGTTACTGCAGTCCATGACACATTGTGCAGACCTAAAAACATTTGGATGAATTCAAATGATTATTGTTTGATTATAGTCTGACAGTTTATTTTATGTGATTAAAATGATCACAGTGGCATGAAATTTGGTATCGAAATTGAAGTCACAAAATTGAGTGACACTGCATACAGCCTTTTCCAATGCAGCACCGTGCTCATGGAAGCATTTACAGAGAGCTCCGACTAGAATCCCTTGTCTCATAAAATAAGTTCAACAAATTGTAAAAGTGCAGTGACTCAGACTGAAAGTTTCACATGTTTTTATTAAGAAAAACATTTATTCAGATACGTACCAGTAAATAATAGTCTGAATCTCAATGGAATTACCTGGGTAAATAAAAGTAAAATGACAATTCTAAAGTACCTATTGAAAAAAACTAAAATGACTTCACAGGATCTAATTATTAGTACAACCCAAAAATCCAGCCTTTTGTTTCTTGGTTTTACAGTCATTTACCCTGGATCCCGACCAAAACCTTGTGGAGCAATGTCTGTCATTCTTCTCGTCTCTTTACCTGTTTTTAGAATAAATATCTTTAGCGCACAACTGAAGTAGCTAACCCCCACAATGCAAGAGTAGTGCTTTTCCCCAGCAGTTCTTACTTCATAGTAGGTGTGGGCCTGCCAAAAGACAAGGGGTTAATACCGCTGCTTAGTGCACACTTTGCTCTTTTCAATTTTTCTTGCATTGTCCCGGGCCAGATCAAAGCAGCTTTCATGTCTTGCTTCATTACTGGAAAAGTTTTTTTTTTTTTTTTTGATCGAGTTGAGTCAGCGCAGACAATCGGGCAATGGGCGACTTTCAGAGCGGCACAATGTTCAGGCCACAAAGATGTTGTCTCAAATCCCCTCTCGAGATCACCCCCCTCCCCTCCTCACATTCACACACACACACACACACACACACACACACCTTTATGCACGCACACACACCTCTTCATACGTACACATATACACGTACGCAAACACACACCGACGCACACGCCTATTCACACTTAAACATATGGACAAATAAATACACACATACGCAAACACATTGACACACACACACAAATGGACCCATCGTCACATACGCACATAATAAAACATATACACACACATGCATGCACCCATCCTCACACACATATGCACATACACACACACACACACACATGCACCCATCCTCACAAACACATACACACATATGCACCCATCCTCACAAACACACACACACATACACACACATATGCACCATCCTCACAAACACATATGCACAAACACACACACACACACACATATGCCCCATCCTCACAAACACACACACACACACACACACATATGCACCCATCGTCACACACACACACATGCACCCATCCTCACACACACACACACATGCACCCATCCTCACAAACACACACGCACATCCACACGCACGGCCACAAACACACACACACTGTGACGGTTTTACTCGTCCTCTCCAACATGGCAGAGAATTACATTGAGACCCCAAAAAGTGCGGATTTATAATTCCTCTCGTCAGACTCCGCTCACGGATAAATTTGAGCAGGAAGCTGGAGACGAGATGAGCCTCCTGTAATATATTCTATACTAGCCAAATCCTCTCTGATCAATGTGCAGCGATATTACCCCAAAAGCACAGAAAACACGGAATAACCCTCTTTATATCAGTAATGGTTGAGTATGTAATCGGAATAGCATAGCACAGTATAGAATACAAATACATAATACATTTTGGCACTTAATGAATTTGTTTTGGGATTTTGTTTCTTGTCTTTTTTAGAAAACGTATTACTGTTACTAGCTAAAGTTTTTTTTTTTTATGTTTTAAATCAGAACTATTTTATTTAACCCCAGAAAGAATAGTGCCAACTTGACTGTGCTATAGGGAAGCAATAACAAACTAACTAAATACATATATTGATACTTATACATATATATTTTACAGCTAATTGTCTTGTGCTTCCTTTATTGCTACTGATCTGTACTAAGCATTGCAAAATTGACATTTTCTCAATGCAGTTTTGAAGAAATAACTAAATTGTCCTATTTACTGTCATGGTATTGCCCTATGTTTCACCGAGCAAAATGTGATGCTTGCTTGGGAGGCATAATAGTTTCGGTAAAAGTTTGAATGTTTTAAACCATTTTGGTTTTTTTCTATTACACCCTTCAATTACTCCATTTATAAAGAACAAACAGAAATAGCATTTTTTTCCCCCCTGCCCTCTCATCATTGAACTTCTAAGGTTGAAATCACACACTTTTGTATTATTATGGAAATATAAGTGACATTTTCTTCTCTTATTGTACGCAGACAATTTCCACAAGTTCATTCTTCAATAATTTTATTTCACATTGAAGATATTGGCCCATATCACTTTTTTTTTTTTTTTTTTGGATGTGAGCAAACAAAGCACTGAGTGAATCCTTGAACACACACGCCTCTCTCCTCTTTCAGAATTGGGCTGGAAAAGTCACCAAAAGTGCTTTCAATTTGCTCCAAACTTCTGGCCCTCGTCTCCTCCACTTTTCCTCCTCTTTATTGACACTTTATTACTCATTCTCCTTTACAACTTAATTTCCTCTCCTGTTGATTCAAGTTGTTTGTTTAGAATTTTTTTATCATCTTTCCAGTGATAGTAGTGGCTTTATAGGTCTCTGGTCATATAGCCATCTTTAAAAAAAAAAACCTGTGCTGAGGACAATACAAATATTTGTTTCAGGGAATAGAAAATTAAAACTGGAATAAACGCTGTCAATAGTAAAAGGGACAAAAGAATCAGGCCTAATATTTTTTCCCGCGACAGCCAATCAGAGGAGAGCCTTTGTTCCGTTATCAGCCTCTGTTAATTTGTCTCAGAGCGGAAAAGCCATTTTAAGATAAAGCGTTATGTGATCTGATTGTGTTATCACGGTTGTGTGACTCCCCCCCTCACGTCCCGCTGAGCAGATGACAAGGTTAAGTGCTGCAGCAGCCTCGTCTGACTCAAGAAATACTAAAATAAAACCACTAGTACTGATTCCCCATTAGCCCATACTCCTCGGCTGTTTAATTAGTTATGGCCTGCTTAGTGTTTGGAGAGCAAAAGTGTGCAGCCCTCATACAGCATTTGACACCAGGGTCAGTAGAATTGCCCCACTTGAACCAAAAGACATTTAGTTTGGTTTGGAAAGTGAAAACTGGAACACCATTAATTTGTTTGCTCTCCCACTAGTCATGACCACAGCAAATGCCATCACCTCAAAGAAGCTCTCGGCCATCCTCACTTTTATTTGTTTGTTTCTTTGGCGGCTGTGAGAAGTTGTAGAGGCTGGCCTGTGGCGGACACTGGACTCAATGGGGGGATGACTATATGGCTCAAGCAAACAGTTCGCTCAGGCCAGTGCAGGGCTGTGTGGGGCACTGGCGCTGATGGGAGGGGTGGGGATTCATTTAGCCAGGCATAGCTGCTCTTGTTTGTGGTTGTCCCTGACAGCGTCGGCAGTGCTGCTCCAAAGCACCTGTGTTTGCTCACTAGCTTTCCCCCAATCTGCTCGAAAAACGCTGTGAGCATGTCACATGGCGGCCAGATAGCCCAGGCTCCATGGGAATACAAAAGCCGGGGCTTTTAGAACAGTTAATCATTAATGGAGGCCTCTCTTTTGTTCCCATTCACTTCAGCTCTGACACAGCTCTGATATTACATATTGTAGACAGGTCAGACATGGAAACGGCCAAGTGCGACGACAGCGATGCAGCAATGGAAGTTTCCTTTGCATCAGGGTCATTTGCATCTATAGAAACAGAGAGAAAACAAGCACGGTTAAACATATTCCACACATATTCCAAACTCATTGTCCATTGGTGTTGTCAGCTTTCTCTTTATTTTCATAATCAACTTATTTCAACTTGTTCTATATATCTTCGCCGTTCCATTCAGGAGGTCATGTGACGCTGTTTGCTGGTTTTGTTTGCTCTGCTAATTTTGTCTGCGGTGTTGTGTCCAGCATAATGGTACATTGTTGTTGCTTTTCTCATGTTCCGGTAAGCTCTCTTTCTGTGACGATAACGATTCATTTTTCCCCCCCCGCCATCAAAAAGAGCTCATAAACGCCCTGAGACATGGCTGAAATCCACCAATTAATTAACATGCCCCTAATCTCCGTTTGCTCTCCATCTTCAACCGTCAAAGAGAAGGCCAGGCTCATTTCCCGCCCGTCAAAGCGGGATTTAAGCAATACACGAACGCTCAGAATTTTCACAATAGTGCCACCGAATTTATTTTGGAGCCAGATTACACACTCGTACGCAGCACTAAAAGGCATCATCTCTTATCGTTCGTTTAGCTCGGCATGCCAGTGGTCCATTATAATAAGATTCCCCCCCCACCCTCACCCCCAGTGCCGGTTGTGTGGAGTATTTGGAGAGGCCGGTCGGAACATTTATGGCTAAAAGTGCAGGACAAGAAGAGGCAAAGTGGCCACTCAAACCAGGATGCTCTAAGCACTAAAGTCAATGATTAACAGCGCACCTTTAGCCATATCTCACTAAGAGGAGAAGTAGTCGAGATAAATAGGCCTGTGTTTCAGGGAATAAAGTAAAAAGCCTCTCACTGCAGTGCAAACATACCGGCCATAATGTTGGTTTCTTTACGAACTCCTTTGTGACGATTCCACTCAAAGTTCCCAAGCTCTGACCCACAGTAGTGAAGTGACTCACGCTAATGTCATACGTAATCTGTTATTTTTCTGATTTTGTTTTTAACAGTGGAATAAAAGGAATACCCAAAACATTTATCTTCATCATTTGACCGCAGTTACTCTTAATCCAGCTTGCATACCGTGTTTATTTGCTAACCCTGGTCAAAGATGATAAGAGGGCCAGCAGTGTTGCCCAAATTGTAACCTGCAACCAGCCTTTGCGCAACAGACGCTAAGAGGGAAAATACAGAACAAAAGTGCTAATAAATTGCGCGTCGGCGATGGGGAAATAAATCTAAGTCCTTAGCTGGCGTTAAACAAAAGTTCCTGTTTCGGGGAGAGGGAAGGTGCACGTTTGATGGATAGCTCGGCAAACATAGTTGACATACCTGGCCAATGCCATGGACCGGTCACAACCCAGGACTGAAGAGGACATTGTGCTTGCGTTTGAGTGTGCGTGTGTGTGTGTGCGTGCGTGTGTGTGAAGCCTCTATCATGCCGCTGGGAACGCTTCAGTCAGCTACGGCCCTGTTTGTCAAAGAAGCAAGCCTCTATATAAAAATCCAATCCGACTATTTATTAGATACACTGCATTGTTGGTCCGATCTAAGGGAGTATCACATGGGTGCAGTGTTGTCAGCATTCTACATTTCAGGTTAGACTTCGATACTAGAAATAAAACCACAATTCATTCAATTACATGATATTCTTTGCAACATCACAGACTTTTGATACATTTTACATTTACATGAAAAAAGGACGCCCTCGGAAGGAAGCTATGCAAAGCTTGTAATTGGGGTGCGACATTGAAAAAACAAAGTATTAGGTTGGCGGAAATGCAAAATATTATTCTTTTCATCCCCCATCTCCTATTAGTTTAGGTTAATAAGAGATAAGATAGACTTTATTGATCTAACATTGGAGAAATTTACAATACTGATATTCACACATACTCACATGCATATAATGTGTACATCCTACAATATGCAGTCATACAGGCCCAAACACTCTCTGACCCTTCACCTCTCTCCCACTACTATCACTGCATATTTATAAAGGCTATAACTAGAAATAATATTATTCTATTGAGCCACAAGGTTCCTAAGATCTTGATTCAAAAGCTATTTTGTTTAGTATTAATCAAATATTTAGTTTCAATATTTGTTTCTTATGGTTTTACAATCCTACTGCAGCGTTCAATAAGCAGGTTGGAAATGTATCCGAGCAAAATCAGTTTTGTGGACTAACGAAATACATGTACCTATAATACTGTTTATATATTTATTTTTAACTATTTCACTTTTTCTTTTATTTAAATAAACGTAACATTATTTCATTGCATAGAAAACAAATGAAAACGTCACTTTCACTTGTGTATGCGAGTTTATGGTATTTTTGTGAACTATAAAAATATGCACAAACATAAACATATTTTGGCTTGCAAAATTCTAAAAAAATGAAAAAAATATTAAACCAAGCCTTTTTTTTACTAAAGCATTGGTGTTGTAGTGAAGGCAAACAAGTAGTGATCAAATATTTTATTTGTATTGCACTTTAAATTTAGGTTTATTATCATGTTTTCCGTATTCTTTCCAACACTAACAACAATATATAAATTATAATTTTAAAAAATATCAATTTATTGTCAATGTAGAATGTAGCATACACTTTCAGGTGAAACTCGTAAAAAAGGATATGTTCAAATGTTCCTGTCATTCAAATGTCAAACCAATATCTGATATAGACTCATTAGATTTACCAAGTCCTGGTTTGTATGGAACAAGATTCATCATTGTAACAAACAATCTTTTCAATTTCTAGCATTTTAACAAATATAGGTTTGTTGAGGTTTGTGTGAGTTTGTAAATTGGTTTCACATTGTAAGTTGAAATACAGAAGTAAATGGCCTTTTGAGTAAAATTCTAAATTTCAGATTTTTTACTAAATAGCCATTTTCTCATTTGACTTCCTATGAAAATACAAAGACAATTCTAATCAATTAATTTCAAGCTGTTTCAAATTTTGTTCCCATCTTTTAAATCCAGCACCAAAGGACGAGTGTTTGGTGTTCGTGATGTTGTGTGACTGGTGTGTGACTGGTGTGTGACTGGTGTGTGACGAGTGGGACCGGTGTGGACCTGGACTGTTGGAGTTGGTGCAGGTATGAGAGCGTGGGACTGTGGGAGCTGGTCTCTGCGCTCTATTGGACGAGTGGGAGACCTTTAGAGGGAACACCCAGGAATGTTTGGTTAAGTCGCCCGTGGGCGCTGACTCTGCCTGAGGTGATGTGGCTGCAGCAAATCATAATATAGACACGTTTTATTTACAAGATCATTTTATCACTGCAGAGTTCGTGTTACACACAGTTTTTAATTTAAAATATGTAATATACACATGTATCCAAAAGATTTGGAATTTAAGTCAACCCTAGACTACTTATTTTCAATTGTCTTTTTACGAGAACCCAGAAAGTCCAAATATGTTAGTAACTTATATTTCCTTAATGTCATGGACATATAAACATAAATATATACATTACAAACATTTAGATTAGAAATAAAACTGTGCCCGATCCACACACAATTTAGAAATAAAAATGATTTAAAAAAAATGCTTTTTAAATTTAAGAAATAACGTTATTATATTATATTATTGACTAAACATAGTAAATTGATCATTAAGTCTATTACAATACATTTATAACTGCCATAAAAAGGCTATAAAACAAAGTTATATTTTGTAATAATTAACTGATAAGTATTGTAAGGTGCCAATTTAGTGAATTAGAAATGAATTATTAACTGAAGTGATTATGTTTAAAAAGACTTTTAGTTCTAAACCCAATTAATTAAAAATTCTAAATATTGACATGGGAAAAATGTCAATTTTCTGTATATGTAAGTAAGTAATCTTTATTTATATAGCGCCTTTCACAGACCATACCAGATGTAATGGAGCGTCTTACGTTGTTGTTTGGGCCTTATCCTCTTTAATACATTTGCATATTTACTCTTTAATACAATATTAAATTTACAAAGCCACAACACCTTCTGACAAGGATTAACTTTTGTGCAGAGATGCCAGCATGAATCCTGTGCCAGTGTCACATGAGCCCCAGCCCCAGCCCTATAGCCCCAGCTCGAGCCGTCACCCCTGGAGCATGGAGGCCTCAAATGGGGAACGTGCTCCGTCTCTTTAGCTCTGCTCTTACCTACATTTAGCTGCTGAATTTCAGTGCTCCTGCTTTGGCTCCCATTGTTTAAGGTAATTGGAGGAGTGTTGTAAGTTTCCTATGAGTCACCTGCAGCTCCTTCCTCCACCCATGAATGCTGGGATATTGTAGGCCGCACTGAAGTTAAGAAAAAAACTATAGCCCTCTTAACTCATAAATTACACGGGCACGGACAACCTTAAGCGGTGTTGAAATGCCTGGAACAGGGCTTTATTTGAGCACTGCTGGAGCGTGAAGCTCAGAGCACCACCCCACAAGCAACCAAGCTCTCAGCATTCACAAATAGGCTGATTTATCTTGTACCTGCGTGCTGACAGGCTGCAAAAGCTGGAGCTAGTAAAGGTGCAGCTGATACCAGCTCCTGTGGTTCTTCTGATGCTTAGCTCCTGCCACAGGTCAAACCATGTGTAATGTGCTGAATATAAAAAGCAGTCTCAAAATTGAGCATTTGTGCCAGTAACAAAAGGCTCTCCTTCCTGGGACCTGTCTTGGCACAGCCGCTGGCACTTTGAAATGTGATCTGGCAGATCAAGAGCTTAAGCATTACAATAAAGCATTTGTGGCATTGTTGTTGAAGCACTGTATCCCTGCGCTCATCACTTCCTGCGTTGCACATACAAATGTGGGAGCACTTCTCTCAAAGGTTATTCTGCACAACATCATATTGTGGTCCTCTGCATGACCACCCAAGGGGTCGGACCCCGGGGGGAGGGGAGGTGTGTTTGTCTTCAGGCCAGGCATGAATATGCTGCCTCGTCTTATGTGTATTGATCCTGTGCAACAACCCGCCATCTTGTGTTCTGTGTTTGATTATTTTAAATACTTTTACTATTGTTGTTTTACCGGACCAGACTGGAACAAG